AGATCACCAGGATACTATGGAACTTCTCGTGCAGCCACGCCATGGTTTAACCGCGGATCTTCTTCGCTACGCTCCTGCAGCTGCTGAAAGCTCGATTTCCTTCTTAGCATTCTTTACCGGTCCTCATGGAATTAGTGAGAATGTGGATTGATATGAAAGCGTCTTGGTGATTGCTAGTGGATTTGGAATTGCCACGGTAATTCCATACTTGAAAAAAATGATCTATGGCTATAATACCTGTACCTCCCAGGTTCGCCGACTGCATTTGGTCTGGCAGGTAAAGCTGATCAGTGAGATTATTGCAGCTCAGGATCTGCTAAATAATCTATTGAAGGACGACATCATGGATGACGGCTATGTTTGTATTTGCTTGCCACGCAAAGAGACGATCCGCTGAAGCTAATTCTTGACCGTTCTAGATACTCAACATCTCAATTTACGTTGCGAGCGGCCTTGAGTGGAACGAAGTACCCTTCGGTCATCACAAACGAGTATTTCTTTACCAAGGAATACCAAATTATGGAAATGTAATCTCGCATGAGGCGTCCGGAGAGCAGATTGAGAGATTGCCCAACATCCGGGATGAGCAAGGTCGAACGCTGGTGATGGGTAGGCGCCTTCTATTTTATCTTTCAGATTGCAAGCTAACCTTTTCGGCTAAGTTTCCACAACAGATAAACTTCGGGACGAAATACGGGAGACGGTACGGGAACACCTCCATCAGGGGTTAAAGCTTTCAGAACTGGAGTTCCAGCCCAGAGCCGATTGAGAGTACTTAGAAGCGCGTCCCACCATTGAGTTGGGCTTCATATCCTTGGAGTGGCACGTCATACGGCTAGAGATTATTGATGATTTTGATGAAAGTCAGCAATCCAACTACGGCTAGCTGATAATACTCTTATAGGCTGGTAATGTCAATCTTCAGCCAGATTTGGCATGTTCTCGTGTGTGGTTTCGGATCTTGGCTCTGGAGTGCTCTTTGCCGTCTTGATTACCCTTCACTTAAATTTATTTACTACCGATGGTATTCAAACCAAACCCTGGAAAAAAAAAAAGTAAGGCGTAGAGGTATGCGACTGTATTGGCTATTGTGCGTACAAAATTATTTTTAGCCATGGATAGTAGCGAGCAGCAGAGTCACTCAAAATATCTAGGTGGTGAAGGGCAATCCACTTTCGGAGCAAGGTAAGGCAATCCTAGTTTATCCTATGACTATCCTACATTTGTGTCGGCAATATTGTGAGCCCGGCAGACCTATGAGATGTTTCATATGGCCATGATCTTCTTGTGCAGAACCATATTTCAAGTAGGGAGTCTCATACCCTCTTACCTCTTGTGAGGATCCTCACAAGAGGAAATTTGTCATAGAACAAGAGTTTCGTGTCATGGTTATTATGTTCTTTTCACTCACATAAAAGTCGTTGCATGAATACGCTCTTAGCCTAATGCTTTCAGGACTCAGTCAACATGGCGTAATACACGTTTCAAATACTCTTCTAAGAGGAGATTCTGGTGTGGTTCCCAGACCTAGAAGCTTCTACATATGCCGATCTTCTACATGTGTCCGAAACGATCTCAAGAGGACTTTCACAGATCATCCCTGTACTTAAGAGGCCCTCCTTAATACTCAGACGTCCTTGGGAGACAAGGGAATGTTACTCGGGCTTTCGCGGACGATGGATCTTGGTTTGTCGGTCTGTCCCCGATTGGTCCTGGTCCAGCAGTTTCGAAACGGAGTACAGAAGCCGCCGGTCCTTGATGAGTTGCCCGTCGGCTACCAATTTACTTTCCTCATGCTCAGAGATCACGAATATCCTATTAATCCCGTCGGCAATCGCGGCACGAAAACATCCGGCAGGGCTCAGGCTCTGCAAGTTCACGTCGTACAACGAATATTTCTTCCGCATGTATTTCTTCGCAACCCGCTCTACCGGCGAAGGATCTAACACATCCACGCGGACAAGGTTAGTTTGCCGCCATTCCCCTCGTTCGAATGACCAAAATGAGATTTCAACAATGTCTGCCGGCGGCGGCTCTTCCTTGGATGCCCCTGTGGAAGGGGCTGAGCTAGTCGGGGCATCGGGAGAGGGCGAAGCAGAACCCTCTGGGGCCCCGGGAGCACTGGTGGTGCCGGGTGCTACTTTGGGCTTCAAATTTTCAGCATCAAGTTCCGTCAAGGGACGTTCCTGCCGTGCCGCAGAAGTGTGGCCTTCCGCGGTGCCTCGGTCTGGGTTCTGAACAGCGGCTACCGTCTCCGGTGGATCCTCAGCAACAGAGACTGCTGGGTCCTGTTCTAAAGCGGGTTGGTAAAATTCCGGTCGGGAATAGTTGGACGATGCCGGTGAAGTCGGCACATGAGGTTTGGGAGACCCGGAATGGTCTTGCGTAACTGATTCCGGAGCTGCCTTGGGCTGAGTTGAGGGGAAATTAAGTTCTTCCTCTAGCCGCTCCTGTTCGAGCTCTTCCTCTAACCGGTCCTGCTCCTCCCGAGCCTGTAGGATCCTATTGATATATTCCTCCATATATGGCTCTAGCTGGGTTTCCGCCGGTTCTTTCTCTGGCGGGGTCTGCTCAGTTGGGATCAAATTTTCACCACTAGCAGCCCTGCGCGGTTGCTTGGGGGATGGGCTACTCGGGTTCTGTTCCAAATCTGCCGCTTCAAGTGGTTGACCAGAGGTAACTATACTGGAAGTGATCGACTCAAAGGGACCTGAGTCTCTTTCAACGGGTCCTGGTGCAGCGACCTGTCCAAAGACACCGTCATCAGACGGCTCTAATGATGCAGCCAGTTCTGACCTCACCTGACGCTCAGTCTGATCATGTGCTAGAGGCTCAGAGTCCGGTGTAGTTTTCCTAGACATCAGATCCACGGCTGCAGCTGGTGATGATGGCTCAGGAGTGCCTGCATCGGTGATCCACAGATCCGAGCCGTCGTTATCCATTACGTCGTCGTTCGTGGACCCTGCGCTCAGGGAGTCTAGCTCCATTGATGGCTCAGCAGTCTGTCCCACTAGTTGTGTCTGGTGTCTTCGCTTTCGCATTTTGCGTGTCCGGCGTCGTAACCTCTCATGGACTCCTGACTGGTGCTGCCGCCCCCGTGTGTTCTGTTGGCCTTTTCCTGTCGGTGCTCCTTCCGGCTCAGATTCAGGTTGCTCCGCCGCCAGTCCCGCGGGAATAGTGGTCTCCAGGTCTGCGGCAGCGCTATCGTCCCTTATGAATAATGGCGAAAATGTAGGTGAACCCTGGGAAAGCGGGTTACCATCGTGATCCATATACGGGTTGCCATGAGAGCAAGGTTTCCCGAAAAAAGCAAAATAGACGCAGCGACGGACGAAAAATGTGGTAATTGTATCGGCAATCATGATCTCGTCTTTATGAAGATAGTCTATAAACAGATGTAGGCTGTCTTGCCTATGCGTCCGCTTCTGGGGCGTCCCGCATCGGGCTCGAGCCTTTACGGTACTGTCTGCCAAAAGCTCAGGGCTCCGCTCAGGCTCGTAAGGGACAGCGGCTGAGAAGCACTCAACGATCCGGTCGACAAGAGCATCGAATTCGCGCACGTCATATCGAAAACGGTGGGGTTTTCGGGCCTGCAGAAGAGCATCCCGGGCGATCTGGCGGTCAGGAGACCCCTGCAAGAGACTCTCAATCTCTGAAGAATGGAATCCAAGGCGGCGCGCGAGGTCTGCCATATCGTAGATTGTACGAGCATCTGCCATGGCTCGATTGGGCTTTGCCAGGAGATCGTCATCGTTCTTCGGATCAGTTGGCATGAGGGTATAGTTCCGCATGGCAAAGAGCCAAACCTGTCGGTAGCCGAGATCGAGGCGTTCTGCACTGCCTGCGCGCTGAAGACGCTCAGTGCACTCGGACGTCTGAATGAGACAATCTTCTTCGAGGTCTGGTGAACCATGGAACATATGTTTCATGGTGTTCCATATAGACTCGTTAACGGGGCCGAAGAGGCGCTTAATGCACTTGGCGCAGTTTTCCAGATATTTGAAATCCTCGAAAAAGGTATATAGCGACGGTACCAGACCATCAAAGACCTCCAGACGGCTCCAGATAGACCTTCGTTCTGTCTCACTGAAGTCTGAAAACGCCCTGCCACTCAGGACAAGGCCACATGCGGTACTTTTATCCGCGCGGCTCTTACCGGGGGCCAAAAGCTGCAGGTTATCTACAGTATCTTGATCTATTTTCTTCATGGCAGCCGTATCGGCGCCGACGAGAGATGACCAGAACTCCTCGATGTGTTTGAGATAGGTGATCATCTCCTACGTGTTGTCAGATGTATGTTGCAAAATGACCGAGAGTAGGAAAGAGGAAGATATAGGTAACTACTCACTTCTACACAGTCAGTGGCAATCAGACGATGTAGCATGCTGATCCTCATGCCATTGGGCCAAATGCCTGGAATCCGTAGCAATTTATCAAAAGCGCCGCGAAGCCGGCGATTTTTGCGGTTGTCGAGTTGTTCCAGCCGGCCTTGATTGCTTTTTGACAATCGTACGAACCACCGCTCTCGGAAAGGCTCATTCTGCTCACCTTCATATTGTCGTATTTTTCGATATATTTCGCCATCAGTTGGAGCCTTCTGGTTGGCATATTCTTCTACTAAAGTCGTCCGTAGTTCCTCACTAATATCTGTACCGAAGCACATAGTCAGTTCTCGTCGCTCCTAGAGTTAGAACAGGGCAGCGGTCAGACCGTCAAAGTATAGGTCTATGGCCCACCATCGGTCGATGGGCGCCAGCACCATGGAGCCAGCCTGCGCGCGATGTCGTCCATGTAGACCCCGCAGTTGGCCTGATGGAAATCGGAGACTAGGAAGATGCTCAGCACTTTTAGTCATCAAGGCGCTGGCTGTCACTTCCGCTTGCTGGAGTGCCGTGGAGAGATCATTTCGAGCTACGATCACTGGAATATGATTCTCCACGTCAAGGCGACGACAGCGATTCTTTCGAAACATCTGGCAAATCCTGTCTAGATTTCTCGAGTCTAGGTCTCTAGGCAATGGTGGGTCAAACACAATGTCATTGAGGCTGACTTTCGCCGACCCTTGATATTTCAGGCGTCGCTCGGAGGCGAGGCGCACCTCTTCCTCAGTAAACAAGGCCCGCTGCATTTGGTCTAGCTACTTATAAAAAGGCAAATATGATAGAATTATTGAGGTACGATAGATATCGGGTAGATGTGATGCGCTACCAATGTCATATTTGAAGGAACTGAATCACTTGGCCCTCCAACAGCTGAGGGCTACTGCTGAGGGAGGGCCTTTTCCCCTCAAGAAGACTAGCCGGGGTCTATATAAAACTTGTCTGTTGGTGCAGCGTGGAATTGATAATTTTGTTTCTGCTCATCTCAACCTATTGCATCCAGACATGTCCACTTTCAGTTAATACTATCATGTCGTCCAAGAAAGAAAAACACTTGACTTTGCTAGATGTTAAACATCTCGATTCAATCAAGCCCCCTGCTTCCCTTCCAGAAACAAACGCTTCATTTACCGTACAGGCCAACAAAGTCGAGCACCTGGTGAACAAGATACCATATTCAAGCGGCTGTTTGACTGAGAAGACGCCGGCTCCATTAACCCAAATAAACGAAAGAATCAAGCATGACCAGCACCGAGATGAGGCTTTGCTCCACCCTAGCAATTCCGGATACCGATCCCTGCCAGTACTGCATAAAGTGTGTCCTTGGAAAAGCTTCGAAAAACGATTTGATTGTGATCTAGCTGGCACTGTAGCCATTGTTACCCGTCGA